TCTATCGTAACTGATGTTCTAAATATGGGTTTAGGTTAGCTCTGCAGAGAATGGAATCAACAGAAAGACATGTAGACACTGAGGATGAAATTCCTCATAGCTCTTACACCCATAGTCATTTATTGCTGACGTAATCCTCCGTGTTATTACAAATACACTCTTGTTATTAAAGAACTGAATGTAAGTAGACATATCGTATTAACAATGTAAATTACTTTTCACCTGAGCATGCAAATAGAGCTCCACACATTCTGTCCTTTCACACCGAAGGCAGACGAGTGGTTGTCCACGATCCGGTAGCTTCATTTCAAAAGTGTCCCCGGTACCAAATGCATTTTATAGGAGGTTTGGTCCATCTCGGACTCTCGAATAGAACAGAAACAGGAAATAACATTTCAATTAATTAATTCTAACTTTGAGCTTTAAGCTTATTGTCGTTTGTCATATGTTCTAATGTGTAATCTCAGAAATGATAAATTTCGAAGTTAATTGTTGTAGGGAACTACATCAAAAACTGTTTGCGTTCTTATCGGAAAGAACGCCTGTAATTTTTAAAAATTCAATGCGATTTAAAGAATAGAAATTAGTCATGATCTTTTTAAAGTGTTATTCCTGCCGATATTTGCTATGACAGCCATACTTTTGTGTCATAAATCTATTTACTTTTTCTGAAATTAAAGGCTATATTTTTTAAATATAGTTCCAGTTTTGCATAAGAATTTCCAATCATTGACCGATATGGGTAAATAGATGGCGGTGTGCAGATTATAGTAAAAGCATAGTTCTGGAACCTGAGTCTACTCTGTAAGATCCCTTCATTTCTTCTTCTTCTTCTTTGATATAATCTTTGACGACTGTGCTAAGACAGCCAGTTCCTTTCATTTCGTTACAGAATGAAACGAAGCATGTCACTCTGTATCCGACAGGTAAAGTAAAAGTCGGGTTTGATAATCTGTCAAGCGACGTATCTTAACCATCAGTTGTCATACTTGAGAAAAATCGAGGTATATTTAACGAAGCACTTCACGGTGTCTTGACTTCTTACAGCTTCCCTAACCCACCATGAGGTTAAGAATAGATGGAGGATCTTCAACGTCTCTTTTTACATCGTCACCTACAGGCTAATTCATCGAGGATACATAGGTCTATTGCACTACGTTGCAGAAGATCCATCGGTGAGTGGGAGAACTGTCATTCCCATCAAATAATTTTTAAACGTCACTTTAAATGTTATGTTCCATGCAGCAATAATCATTCTTGTGTGAAGTAAATCCTACGGATGCGTCTTCGGGAAATTAATGATATACAAGAATCAAACATTATGCAGGATAAATAAAGTATGACAGTGATAATAAACGGTGACATTAATGAATATGAGATTCATACAGAGAACTTATTCAGCGAGAGAAATTGCAGAAACTCAACTGTCAGACTCTGATTTTGCTAGATACTGAATAGATACGCTTGCCATTGAAACAGTGGATGGACATCAGGTTCATTGTACTATGGAGGCATTGCTACACGCATAATAAACACGAAGAGTACATGTACGTAAACACAGAATATTATATGATGAGTGAGGATGGTAAATTCAGGAGCAGAAAGTTATGCCTCTTTCCCGGGTTAAAGGTCGTCACCCGCTAGCACAAATTTTGTGTTTCCGCTCAAAAAACGGGGCAGAAACCATGCGTTTTTCCGGGTTGAACTTTTTAACTCAGAATGCCAAACCGTAGACGAAACAGACTTTTCCTTCGATTTTTCCGATTAGACCTAGTCTGCGTTCAGAAACTGCAGTTTTATTTTGGCCAATATTATTACTAGTATTCTTATCACGTCACTTTCACTTATAGAATCACATATTTTAATCAGCATTAATTGTGGTTGCATTATAGAATTTTTAACTTCCAAGGTCCACTTGTTTATCTGTAGCAGTAAGTGTTTAATTCAATGATTTACACAATGTACATAGTTAGCAAAACCACTTATTTTTCAAAATCGTTATTTGGTGATCACATCTCCATTGTTATGAAACACAAATATAAACCTATGAACATAACAGTTATAGAAACTGCACCCACAGTAATCAATAGCACGTCGAAAATTTTACCAACAAATATGCACGTGTAAGCATTTTCGTTAATTTATCTAATTTCTGGAAAGCCGCTGGCAGACTGTCTAAAGAATAAACAAACATTACTTAATGTATTGTAATAATAAAAATGCTAAACAAACTTGTCTTTGACATAGCAAATTGCCTAAATAAATCCACAAGACGCAGAGAAACTAGAAAGAGAAACGCTGCTCTTCGGAACAGCATTCTACAGAACATCGCCCCTCAAAACTTGTTCAGTGATTTTTAAAGTCAACCTCATACAAAGTTCAATGTTTCCTTCATGAAGAGAATTATTGTAATGAACATTCTTGTGCAGGATACAACACAACACAACACGTATTTCCCTTTGCTTCCAGTTTATTTATATTTTATTATTTTCCTACGTATCCATCTTCCATTTAACAACCCTTCTATATTTTTGTCTGTCTCTACCCCTGCATGAATGTCTCATTCTCTTTTCAGATTTAGTAAAGTAAAACAAGACGTTCCATTTATCTATTTATGCAAATTTCTTTTACATGTATTCGATTTAAAACAATTTAAAAATTTGCATGTCTTCGTTTTAATTCTAATGTAGGCCACGTCGTCTGTTAATGATTTATTCAGTCATTAACAAGCAACATGGCTGACGCCGCTTCGTATTGGCTTTAATGGGGAGCAATAGTTTTAATGCCTCTTAAAAAGTCGTTATAACATCAGAGACAACTACCATATATAAATGTATATATTTTATATAACTAAATGTCTGCGAAATTGTTATTCTGTTGGAGAGCAACCCTGTTACAAAAAATTATTTAGGCTTTCCATAGGCCTAATTGTTCTTTATTTACATGGCCTATTTCAGGAAATTATCTGCTAAGAAAATAGATTTGTCGGAGCAAATAGTGTCCCCAGCAAAAATTTAAATGAACAAATAAAAAACATTTTATGCCCAATTCACGTTTATCATAAGTCTTGTGGGTGTCGAACTAATTAAATCAAATTAATTGTTACCCTCCGTCATAACATAACTTGAGAACTATGGACTGATTTTGATGAGGAGTATACCTAAGAGAGTTTGTGCAACATTTAACTTTTACTTTCACCGTAAAACTACGAGTCACTTCTTAACGAACGTGTCAGAGGTTAGGATCCTTCTTTATTTTAAAATTTTACAATTACCAACTTAAAGGGTCATTTATGGAACTTGCGGGTTCATTGAGATGTTCGTCAGAGCCCGCCACTGATCCCTAACCTGTGCAAAAGAAATCCACTTCAAAACCACACATCCCATTTCTTTAAGATCCATTTGTGTATTATATTTCCATTTATGTCGTATCTTCCCTTCAGACTTTCGGCTAAAATTATGTAAGCATTTCAGATATCTTCCACGCGTACCACATATCCGAATCATTTCATATCCCTTAATTTAAGAAGTACAAATTATAAAGCTCCTCGTTATCCGTTTTTCGCCACTGTCCTCTAACTTTATTTATTTAATTGAATTTGTAATTAAAACAACTGCAATCTAAATTATGTTTACCTCTAACATGCTTCTTTCATAAAAACAAATGTACAGTCTCTTATTGCAGAAAAATGTCTGTCCGTTTTATTCATGTCGTACTTTATGATTGTAATTGAATTATACAAGGGTTTGTACAAACAAGATCAGTTAGATCGATGCCTTTAATAGCATTTATCGTAGCTAATATCTGAATATAGTAGAAGGAAGCTGACAAGGCCAGCTCTAAATCAAACTGATAGTGATCAATTGATACTGAAGGCCATCTTAAGTTACCATTAGGCTATAAGTGGCATGAAACAACAACCGTGACATCCCGGCATATTACACGTGCTGAATTTACAGGAGGCCATAAGGACTGACTGGATTACCGATTAGTAAGCACTTCATTTACTGCGAGCTACGTGATTGCTCAAGGTATTTTTAAACTAGTTAGCTTTCTTACAATCCTTTCCAACACGCAGTTTTGAATTCACTTAACGTGCACTTCTTCTTGGGCGGAAGAGTGTTACATGAGACAACTGCTGTTCTAACCCTTACTTGTGCCGAAAAATAAACACATAACCCTACGCCGCTCAGTCTGAGATCTCAGGTCGTTGGGCCCACTAGATACAGATAGGGATTAGCTCTATCTAGTGGCCCCAACTGTGTAGGAACCTGAAGACGGAGATAGAGTCCCATCTCCGAAACGTCATTTTACGTTTTATATTTACTAGACGATGGATAATATCCAAGGAAATTTTTATTCGAATGACTCTTCACCATCGTCAAGAAGTATTAGATTTGATATACGAGAAATAATGTTTCAGGTCGTAAGTTATATAACCTACCAGTTAAATGATGAAGATAATTGTCTTCTGGGGTGTTGCGCCGTGTAGTCTGGTAAATGTTTACCGATGATAAGTGCCGCTTCGACTATCCGGTTGCTTCACCAGAAAGCCGAAGTTATACATTGAACTCCAGTCGCGAAAACCTAGGGACAAAAAGTGTACCGACGTTTCAGAGATGCTTACTGCCTTTATCAACGGGGAAGTTGGTCTCAGTGAACATAAAAATGAAATGATTCTGACAGGCGGATGACGACTTTATGTCAGATTATCGATAAATATGGAGAATTCTGCCATTCTCTCGCCCTGCAACTGAATACGTAGTTGGCCGCCCATAACCTAAATTACTCACATTTGTGTGTTGCTGCGTGAGAGAAAGTAACGCTGTTCCTCTGCGGAAGTGTATGAAGTGTTGATAAGTGATTTGTGACAGGTGCTTTGGCTTCACAGACCTCATATTAAGAACTCAGACAAGAATGCCGTGTAAGCTTTATAGTATATGTAGGAGATAATTAAAACATATTGACTAATTATACCAAACACTTGCGAACTGTTTCAGGGATGTAAGACGCGACAGAAGCTGAATGAATGTCATGTCACTGACACGAAGACTGAGTGGGGCGGGTGGGGGTTCCGTCACTAAACGACTTACTGCCTGCTTCGGCTCGTTTGATCCTATCTCAGCATGTGGCTGAGAGAGACAACACAGGGCTGTCTTAAGAGACTTCAGATCGGTACGATCAAAGTAAAGTGCAGTCGGCACTTGGAGCCGACTAATTCAAGACGGTGGCATAGTTTTTCAGCAAGACACGCAATAAGCTGCAAGCAGACATGTACCGACTGTCTCGACTTCCTGTGTCTGGCACTGGGCGGCTGAAGAGATAATACGCTTTGAAAATAGGCTACATGTCTGGAAGTGGGAAGAATTTCAGACTTTTAAATGCATGCTAACAGACAAATGTAACCTACAAGTGCACCATAATATACAGAAAGTAGTGACAGTGAATATCACAATATACCTAGTGAGTAAACGCGTACTGAAGTCGTGTAGTACTGGACGAAGGCCTCTCAACTGGAATGCCCTAATTCTTACATAAACCCGCTGAAATCCGATTAACATTTTCACATTTCCTCAAGACCCAATTTGATTTTTCATTTTTTTTCACTTCCGACGTAGGGTTTAAAACACTTTCCAAGAGACATCAAGATAAAATAGGCAATGGTGGATTTATGTTCCTTTTCACAATACATAGGCGACTTAACTGGAGTAGTATCTGTTGATATTTTCCAGTTTTATTTGTAGTTTACTAATTTAATTTTTTATTGTGGTTCGGTGAAGTTTTAATTTTTACTCGACTGGAAATAAATTAAACCTCCAAAATAAGGCATTCATAATCAAACCAACAAAGAAAGGAACAAAAAATAAGAGAAAAATAATAACTGGATACAACGGGAAAGTCCTATTCCGATGGCGTTCACAGATATGTGTCTACGCATTCTTGACCTCGGCACTGGATGCAAATGATTTTTAACCACACGCCGTGGCTGCATAAGTCCTGACAAAGGAATACGTACATTGGATAGGAGGCTAGGTGAGCCCCAGAACAAGTCTGAATATTGTGACAAAGACACTGAAGTTCTGCATTAATCTTTTATTACTGCACTTAACGTCGAGGAGTAATAGTATATTTCTACTTCGAATTCAGAAGGTTCCGTTTTCGAATCTCCAGGAGATTAGCTATCCTGATAGGCTTTAATGATTCTCCACACTCCGACGAGGCATGTGGTGATGGTGGTAACAGCCCTTGTCGTCGGCTTAACACGACAGCCACACCAGCCCGGCTCTGACGCTGATACAAGTAGGTTTCGGTCTGATAACTATTTAGTAAAGAACGTTTTCCTGCAGCATAGATCTGTTACTTTCGACATGCTAATTACTGAGGCACTGTAACGAGAGGCTTTTCTTGGTGAAATAAACAATTTTTGTTGATTTTGAATCGTTAAGAAGGAGCGTCGCGGTCGAGTGGTGTGCAAATAATGCTGCCTCATATTCGGAAGCTTCCGGGTTTAAATTTCGGCCCGGAGATACGATAATATGTCTAAGGTTTTTCGTGTCCTTCCTCAGACCCGCAATGTAAAAGCACGGACAGTATCTTGAACTATGTAAGGACCAATCCTTTCTTATCCACTTAAAGCATCGTTAAATAAACAAAGAATATATTAATAATATAAGTGTTATTAAAATATAATAAGTCCGTCTTTGGGGTAGCAAGAAACACCTGACCTTGTTTTATCTTAAATTTCGACATTTATTGTTCCCGATCAATGAATATGGGCAAATACTGCTTACAAAAAATTCGATGAGGGCGGCGGATATATTAAGCTACAAGAAGTCTAACATTAAGGGCCTTTATAAGTTTGTTCTTTCTCTTAAATGATTTTAAGTAGTGCAGTTACAAAAATATCATCAACGAAATACAAATCACTAGCAACTATTTAAGCATTTTAAAGCCTTCTTTTGCGAGGTTCTGTGGTCCGCGTGCACTGGATCCATCCCTTTTGTATATATGGCAGGGCAGTAGCCGACTTTCTCCTCGTTTGTTGCATGCTATTTTATCGCGTTCAGAATAAATGTTTTCTTAGTGGGCAAACCCTTCCACCCGGTGAGAAAAACAATTTTGCGTGCACTATTGATGCATGTTCTCTGTCAGCATATTTGGGCCTATTTATTCGGCAGTTGTACGAGATTAGTAACTTACATGTAGAGCCAAGTGTGACACGTTTAATAGGGACATGGGAGAGGGAGGCTGTACACTTATTTTGTGACATGCCTCGGCGTTTAACAGGAAGGAGCTAATCAAGCCACTAACATTTACCAGGAGATCGGAAAAAGAATGCTGGTACTTTCCAGAACGCGAGTCAGATGTTTGACGGTGCAATAGGCCTCCAGTGCCATGCACGTTCTATGATCAATTCACACTGCCATATAAGGGGACAAGAGTTTCATGAAAATTTATTAATGGGTGCACAGTAACATGCATCATTCAGATTTGGTTCAATAACTCTTAATTTTAGGTCTTACATACTGTAAGTTCGCCCCTGTGCATATATATTACATATTAAACATTAGAATGGTTAAGAAATTTATGGTTACCATCGAGTGCCACCCCTAGGAAAGTGTCAGGTTTCCCACAGTAACTCCAGCCTTTCCTAAGTGATTTATAACATTTGGCATGAAGTGGGGGATAGTTAACGCAGAACTGGTTAGCAATAAATCTCTTCCATTAAAGAACGCCATCTTTAAAATATACAGTTGTTAGCACATTAATTATTTATGCTTTATGCAATGCAGCAGTCTGCAATATTATTTTCAGATACATTTTTTGCAGTTGAGACAAACTATTCAACAGTACTTAGTTAATAATGATTACCAGCAATCAGATGAACAAAGAGCAAATACCATTTATCATTCTTGTATTGAAGTCATTGAAGTCAAATGAACTACTTACTGTTGACGGTTTGGGGTGAAGGTGAGAGCAACGGTGATCAAGCTACTCACAGAGACTGGTCTGAAAAATATGTTATATCCCAATTGTGACGTAAATAAACACTAATATTCTTTTAGCTTCAGTCCTCAAAATCAGACTGATATATTCTATATTTAGAATATGTATAGTCGGTGGTAAGAGAGTTAGGAAAGTGTACACACAACATCAAAGTAAATATAAACAAGTAATCTTATCCAGTGATTGAGATTAGCTAATTCTACTAAATGACCCCTCAGGGTAGTTGTCCTTCCCCTTCATCGCACCTGAAAACGAAGGCAGATCCAGTACTCGAAACGTGTAATTTTATAACACCAGACAATGGGGAGGTCCCAAATGCAACAATACAGAAAGTACTGTATTTTGTTCGTTTGGTTACAATATAACGAATTATCCTTTTTCATGAAACTCGTTATTTTTGTGTTAATTATTAACAGCACTTAAAAACTCTGAAGTCAGAATTATTTATTACTTCAACAACCTTCTGCAACCGTATGTTTACCAGTAAAGAACAGCTTTTTTACATGTAACATAAAATATTCAATTACCCGCTCTGTTTAACTTTTTAGAGCACAGTGATTACTACATCTACCGCAATATTTAACATTTTAAAAACCTGTATTTTGTACGCAAAGTGTATTTATCGTTTTCTTATGACTTTCAGAATAAACAAGCGTTTGCTTCTTTAAATCGCATTAAGCAACTGATATTTGTAATGGAGTCGCGTTTCTTATTAGAGTCAGAATTCGTAATATTATTTATTTGATGTTGACTTAACAGAGAGAATAAATAACAGAAATACGTGATTAAATACAAGTCCGTTAAGCCGTGAAGGAAAGCTTGTCATAGGCTCAAGTAATTTATCACGTTCTGGCCGCTTTTACCTCTGTGAGAAGATTCTAGGTACCCATTTGTAGTCAAATGGGTATTGTCTAGAGATCTACTCCCTTACTGAGAAACTAACAGTCGCTTAGCTAATCAATAAATTGTTCGTCTTTTACAAAATCCAAAACATCATTGCCGTGTTCTCAACAGTCCGACACTGTTTCCTGCCCTGAGCCAGATAAACCCAGTTTCACACGCTTACAACTAAATTCTATGAGATTTATTTTACTATTATCCTCCCATCTATCAGATGCTCCAAGTGATCTCACAGTTTCAGATTTTCGACTATCCTTGTGTATAAAACTTTCTTATCATTAACATACATTTTACATTTATAAATTTGACAGCCCTAATAATATTTGGTGAATAGCAGGACCTCAGAGTGTAAAGCTTCTGATTGTACAATTTTATACAACCTATTAAAACGTATAGAGCCTATAGCAAAGAATAGAATTATGATCGCTGAGTAACTGTAAAAAGAAGTGTCTATTGTAAAAAAAATGGGACGAAAAAGGAAGACGCATGTCGGCCACCCCACAAACTGAAACATATATGGCAGGGCAGCTATTATCAAAGATTATTGTACCTGAGATTTATTCATCTTTGATACATCGAAATAGTTTGTCAGCACAGTAAACGACCGTCATAAATACAAGTGAATGTCTGGACGAAGGGACTTGCATCGAGTTTGTCACGTAGTGATACAAAAAGCAACACAGGCAGCTGGCTTTCAGAGATAGAGATATAGCAATGAATTGCGAAACACGTGGCACAAGGCAAGAAGGGCGATAGAGTAATTATAGTGATAAGCGAAAGTTGTGTTTCAACATCCACACAACCAACAGACCCCTTCTATTGCTGGTGATGAAACACTGCTTCGTAGCACAAACGAGTGTAACTGAAACCATCTACGCAACGGATTGTATACTTGAGTACACTTGTACCTTACGTCATATGAACTTTTGAAGTTTTGTACCAACGTATCGGGGAACATAACGCCTCTGTCTTCAGGGCTACAGTTTAGTAGGAGGGGTTTACTTTTCTTTTTGAAATCTGTGAAGAATTAAGAACAAAAAAAGTCCAAATGACTGCTAGACATTGTGCAGAATAATTGGAGTTAATTTCAAGTTAACGTTCCATTTAAAATTAAATACAATATAGTAATTAGAGTCTTTATCCTCATCAACTTTTGATCCAAGTTTACTCTAAACACAAATGAGAAAATGCTGCTTATTTTCATTATATTCCACCAATATTTATCTCACTTTTTCTTTTATTCTTCTTCATAAACTGTAAATACAATATGTGACATGTTCCCTTTGGCACTCCACTGAGTAGCGTCCTGACTCTACACAACTTCGTGAATTCTGCAAACACGAGTAAGACCTTATCCAGCCCATAACCATGGTATTATTATTACAACACTGACTGCATGTCTTCCACATGTCCAGAACCCCTGCTGAGGCAGCTCTTGCAGGAAGGATCTACGGTTTAGTGCCTTGAGCTACTATTGAAAGTCACGGACGTCTGCACGTAGCAGTATGTCATGGAGCAGCATTATTTTATATGATTACAATTGACGCTTACATCATTTGCTTTAAGTTATACAAAATTCTTGCAGTTAATGTTTACCACTAATGATATATCGTAAGCACATCACATACTTATTAAGGTGGATGTCTTGATATGGCAGTAAATTGTCAAGATGGGGAGAGATTTTTAAATGAGCATGTTTGTGGCATCAATCTCAGACTCATTGCCAATAAAATCACGTCACCATCTGCACGTTGAGGTCATCCTATGGAACACAGGTTCGTAGAACGTTCATACTTCTTTACTCGGGAGAACGAAACTTCATCGCGTTCCACAGTGGTAATGCTTTGACAATCCGTATGCATTTTCGTTTGTTAATTGTA